AAATATCCAATTTATTCGTTTATAAATCTGAGTTTCCATCCGGATGATACTGCAACACCGCTTAAGCACACATATACTTTAACGTGTTTTGAATTTCGTAGGTTACAGCGGACAAACAAAAAAAAAATCATTTCAAGAGATAAGGATATGTTTATTAGACAAATGTATACCTCGGACACGAGTCGGGCGCGAGTCGCGCGTTAAACTAAAAGATAATATTGTAAACTAACACTCTATCTTTGGAAGAAACTAAATATCCGGGCTATGAGGACCAACTATACGTGGGCATAGAATCACAACGTACCACCGTCGAAAGAAAAGAAACAACTTTCTGATAATACTTCCAAATACTTATAATACGTTATAACAATTTTCAAGTGTTAAGGCGTTGCTTTCCTAAATACCTCAAACCTATTTTGTATTGTTTGAAAATGTATTGTAAGGCTATAAACGTAAAGTACAATTTCCAAATGCACACACGTATATTACATTGAGTGTTTGTTAAAATTTCCTATATAACAAATATAAATAACTTACAAAAATAGCGTATTTGATATAGTATTTTCACTTTCACAAGAGTAAAAACTAAATATTAACAAAAATATTTGATGTCAATTGTTTGACAAAGCGTGCTTGTGCTTTGGTAAATTATCATGTTTTTGAATTGCTTACACCACATAAATGTAATTTATTCCGTAAGACATAAATACCAAATTGGCTTAACACACGAAACAATAGAAAATTAAGTCATTTCCCATTAAACTGTTTAGTTTGTATTTAGTTTAGTTTCCTATTAACTAGTTTAGTTATTAACCTTAATGGAGGAAGCAAATTAGTTTATAATTATTGTTCTATAAAATGGTTTCGACGGAATTTTGTCAGGTGCTTGTTAAGCGTATATCCATTGTTTCCAGTAACGACTATTTTGTTCCAAGGATTACCAGACTTGAGTATTAAATATTTAATGATAATTAGAAATTGATTCTTTGGACTTTTATGATTTGAATTCCGATAATATCTATGCGGAAGGGGGCACAAAATAAATACCTTTTATCGCGCAGACTAAGAAAGTTTGAGCCCGCGGCCCCTAACGCGTGTTGCATCAAACAAGTCTGACACCATCATGAGGTAATTACGTCATGTAATTTGAATTTGCTATATTTAGTAGGTAGTGTTAAAACTCGGTTGACTTCGTACTTGGAAGTTAAATTTGATTTATAGTAGGTATTTAAAATGTAAAAACAAGAAATTTTTTAACTGTAAAAACTATCAGATATTCATACCTCCAAATGCCCATACAATTTTAAAATAAATGTTTGTTTTGACAGCTCTTTTTCGAGTGAAATGTCAAGTACCCAATTGTGATGTATGAAAATTTATGGAAGACAATATAATACACTGTGGTTGACCCTACATTGAACCTTCGTTAAGCGACTACACTATAGTACGTAGTACTATTATGTATTCTGTGACTATAGTATACTTGCACGGAACTATAGTTTAAAGGTAGTCTAACAGTTGGGAAACGAATGTGCTTGTGCAGAGCAACGGCGGGGGCCCGGCGGGGCGGCGCGGCCTTCCAGCGCACTCCACTAAGTGTGCTGTACAATACATGAGGTTGATGAATATTTAACTAATTTTTCGAAAAATATAATATCTATAATGGTGAATTACTGTTATGGGAGTTATTAAGTAAAGTTACAGCCTATATGCGTCCCACTGCTGGTCACAGGCCTCCGCCCATTTCTGAGAGGGTTTTAGGACAAGGAATTGTCCGCCGCGCTTACCCAATGCGTGTTGGCGAACTTCACATGTCTTCGAAATATTTTTTTTTCTTATTTCTCTGACATGCAGGTTTCCTCACGACGTTTTCCTTCACCGCCGAGCACGTGGTAAATCAGCACTTAAAATTGCAATTAACAATTTCATTGGTGCCGGCGGGGATCGAACCCGGTTTGCTCGCGTACTGTGAAATTTACAGCGAGCGCTAACCATCTGAGCTACCACGGCTCATGAGTTACTAAGTAAAGTTGAATTCATGAGTATGCATGTAACGTTAATAAATGATAATGAGTATTATAATATTGAAATTTATTTTATTCCCAATTTCGTGACAACCCCAAGCATACACGCCGCTCGGGTAAATACCTAAACGGGCGGCAGCATCGCCTGACATTAAAGCCTGGTTCACATTTTGAGAAGTGAGAAGTGCAATTGACAAATGACAAGTGCTTTGTGCGTATTTTATTCACACATCACTTGTTACTGCCTGTTCACACGCACTAAGTTGTTATTTGTCAGTTGCACTTGTCACTTCTCAAAATGTAAACCGGGCCTAAAGGCGTTTCAAAACTGTTAGACTATCTTTAAACTGTGACGGAACGCAGGTAGTATGCATATGTGAATGTACATGCAGCGCACTTGCGGTGATCTGTATCTCTCTCTCATCTGATCTGACCTTAAAATACAGGCTTTATGAAAGCAAAGAAAGAAAGATGAATCTGCCATAATCGTCACATTTATGCGGATTAGGGATTGTAGTATGTTTTAGTTTAATTTAGAATTAACATGCAAGCATCTTTACTTAATTATGCGATCATTGTCAATAATTTTCTATCAATTCTGGCTTCAAATGTTTTACATCTGGTTGTATGCTTCACTAACTTGATAGTTGTGTCGAAATGTATAAGGCAATTTAAAACGCATGTCAAAGCAAAGAAAAAATCAAACAGAATAATTGTATTGTATTTTGAAACATTTTCGTTGTTATATTTTATAAAAAATAAGTTGTATCACATTTTATTTTCGGGATGCAATAAAATAACACTGATACGAAAGCAACGCCTTGACATATCAGTTTACTGTACATCTAAATGTTAACATTGGACCTTACTATAATTATTGGACCAAATAAAATACTAGTAATTCTCAACAATAGATATATATGTAAATGTTTTAACTTACAATTCTCAACCATGAGCTTTGTTATATTATAAAAGTCGTCGGAACTCTTTTTGTGTGGTGTATGTACAGTGGCATATGACATTTACAGATGTTACAGTCAGGCACTCATAGAATCACTCATTTGTTACTAACTTCAAATTGAAAAATGTTTGTTTTTTAACTTATTAACATGACGATGTTATTGATGCATCTAACTTATTTTGTATCATGATCTGTTACTTACAAAAGTAGATTTCAGATTTGTTTCCTACATTCAACTTAAAATCTTACTCTTGTTATGGTTTATGAATTTTATTGTCTTTAAAATAATATCTCAACATACTACACAACATCTCTAAAGGAAAGTTGAAGGTGTTTCATTCAGGTAAAGCATGCTTCATTCATTTGGCAAATTCCATCATTTCAATTAACCTAACACCACAATTTATTTTTATATAAATATAAATGAATATTTTTTTTAAGTTTTCTGCCATTATGTCTGTATTTCACACATTTACTTATTAATGATAAGCGTTAAAAATTATTATACACAAATGTTTCGCGAAATAAATGAGTAGCTAATTTGTGTTCATATTCATATTGTCTATGGGGCCACATTTTTGGTAGGTTCAGTGCATTACACTATAATATAAGTGAATTAGTTTCTATGAAACATTATTACAACAATGGAAAAATATGCTCCAGTGATATTCCAACTATAATTATTAATTAATTACAATTTTAGGAAAGTATTTCATTATTCGACAATATCTCATTTTTACAGTACATTCACAATACAAACGTTTGGTTTTTTTTTTCAAAGTCCACAAAAACTATCACAAAGTTCGGAAAATATTTTTATGGTTTCTTTTAAAAACAAGACATAATGTCTATCTAGTATAATAAAAAATTAAATATCGTCGGAAAAAATCCAGCCTATATACATCAAAGTAAATTGTCTATATTCACGCAAATGATACGAATGCAATTTTGTTGTAAGATCTCGTATAATAAATTATAAATGCAATAATCGAATCTGACTAGAGAATTTTGAACAATTCTATATCATCAGTTTTCATGTATATATTTTCAATTATAAAGGATTTTGGAGTAACCTTTGTAATCTGTATATATTTTGGCGCGCTTTTATTAAAATTTAGATGAAGTTAATTGCTAGTTGATTTAGCTTATACAAACATATTTCCATTTCTGTTACAGAAAATTATTACATACATAATATTTACTACTTGATTTGAATTGGATAAGAATGTTATTTATTTATCAGTAGAAAAATGGTAATATTATTTCAGTAGTAGTTAAACAGTAATTATCAGAACATGTACATGTTGTAACTTACGTTTTTAAGCATGGAAGATGTAATATTAATTTTTTATATTGAAACATTTAAAATATTTAGCAGTACTCTGTGTATAGAAATTGAAATTCAATGAATTTCGTTTTTAGCATATAACTAAATTGTGATGAGTTTTATAGGCAGTATCGGAACCGACTTTCGCATCATTTGCGCAAAACAAAAAATTGATAAAATAAAATAAAACCTAAAATTTCAGAGTAATATGATATATTTAACACAATCCTTGTCACCAGTATTCACAGCACGTAAATCCAACATCCCTAAACTAATATGTACACAGTATTTTTTAACATTATAAGGCTCAACCGGTGCTCTCACTTATTATATTGCATATGCCTTGTGTCAATTCACTTCCAGGCAATTCATCTCACTAAGCTATATGAAAATAGGCATTTTTTTTAATACAGCGGTCCAGAGTTTCACGTAACTACTCACACTGTAGGTCCCATATATTATTTGCATATAGGTAGTTTCACATCACTCACTTTACACAATTTTTAAATATGATCACTATTAACTAAATACACAAATGCGCTAAAACGTCATTTAAATGACGAATCCGTAACATACGCAATAGTTCTGTTCCTATTAATATTAATTAGTGTGTGAAACATGATTTGGCCTACAAACGTTTCGTAGTCACGGCTGGCCGTCGCTATACGACCACGAAGAACATGCTTCGTTATGGCCTTTGTTCAGTCGAAACCACAGCCTGAGAGGGCGCCACGGTCGCAACAGGAACCGGCAACGGTTGGCTTGCAATAACCGTTTGTGGGATCACTGTCAACGACTTTGGTATCTTCGGCATGACCATATGACTGGCTGCCATTATCGGCATATTTGGAGTTAGCACGGTTTCGCTAGTAATGGACACAGCTGGTCCTAGTTGAGGAATTTTGATAGGTGTTGAAGTCACAAGCAGGGATGGTGATGACACAACTGGTGAAAGGGTCTGCGATGTGACAGTCGCTGTCTTCGGTGGGATGGGCGCTATAGTTATGTTCTTTAAGCCAACATTTTTCAGTATTGTTGCTGCATTTGTACCGATTTGAAGATCCGGTACATCTTTCTTTTCAGACTCTTTTTCGGTTGGGATATTTTGGACAACTGTGCCACCGTTGCCCAGCATAGTCGACGTCTGGACTTCTGTGACTACTGTTGTTTCATCGGACGGTTTTTTGACCTTGGACTCGCCGTCATGCAACTGTTGGAGCTTCTCACGCCTCATTATGCACATCTTATTGTAATCTTGTAAAGTTATATGGTACCGTTTGCCCGAAGACATCACTTGTACCAAGCTTGGTAAGGTTCGTCCATCAACTGCAACTTGAGTGGGTTCCCGAGCGATTTTCGCTAGGTTTTCCTGGAAAGATAAATATTACATTATTTGATGAAAAATATGAAGTATTTTTACTTTTCCACACACTTTGGTACTAATTTATTTTATTTATAACCTGATTGAATTGAACTGAACATTCGCAAGCACAAAAATAACTTTATTATTTTATCCAGGTTGAAAAAAGCCTATTACAATACAAATCAAATTGTCAACTAGAATAAGATTATGGGAAAATCTATGAGAAGGCCTTTGTTCAGCAGTGGACTTTGATAGACCATAATAGAGGTAGATAGATGGATTGTACCAGATTATACATATGACTTAAATTCTGTTAGGGTTGTAAATCTAATGATTACTGTTCAACTACCTTTCAAATTGTCCTTTACAGTAATTTCGTGAATGTATATAAAACGAAAGACTGAAATATTCGAATTAACTTACCGGAGTAATAGGCATTAAAGTAGGTCGCCACGGTTTACTCGTAGTTTTGGTCTTCTTAGGTGTATCTGATTTTGGTGAGGTCTCTTTCTTCTCTTTTGGTGGCTCGAACTTTGGAGCCGGAAGTGGCGCCGCTGCAACTTCGGTGGGGTCAGAAGCTGACACTCCCTTAACCAACTGCTGAATATTGTGCAATACATTCTGTATCGCTTTCCTACCTTGAGCATTAGGTGTATTTATTGCTATGAGCTCTGGCGGCAGAGGTTTAGACTTAGGCTTTTCTGTAGTCTTAGGTTTGTTTGGCTTAGGAACTGATCCGGGGGGTGGCATAAATTTCTTTGGATCTTTCTCTTCTGTATTTTGACTTGATTTGAGAAGACTCTTGCCGTTAACGGACGGCTTTTTGCGGAACTCTATCAGGCTGATAGCGGGCTCACTTTTTCTAGGTGCATCGGTCACTACATTGTCATATGCTCGGAGTCTACTTTGCACTGAATCACTGTAAGTTGCCGCGTTAGGTGACGCGTTATGAGATAGCACTAGATCACCGCTTCTAAAGTATTTTTCAAGCAGAATAAGATGCCGGAGGAAACTTGATTGGTTTCCATAAGGCCTTTGAAGTTCATTCCAAAGTTTCTTTGTTTCCAGATCATACTGAATCTGCGTATTACATTTTTCCCAACCCTCAGGTGTAATTCCTTTGACATTATTAAATTCTATGTTACATTGCAAATTCATTTCTTCTTCACCCGGAAACAGCTCTCTAACTGATATAGAAGGATTAGTTTCTAATCTCTTAACCGGATTTGAGTATTTTGTCTCATTTACTTTCTTTGGTTCTTTATCTACAGACAATTTTTTGGATAGTTCACTAAGGTTTTTCTTCACCTGGGTGAAACTTTCAGACATTTGCCATTTATTCTTAAGGGTGTTGATATCCGCTGGTTTCTTATTAGGTATTGATTCTATAGTACATTCGTCATTTAGAGATATGTTCTGTAGGATAGTTATTTCCTTCGATTTCTCGGAATCGAACATTTCTACATCACTGTCCTTTTTGGTGGTTTTGTCTTTGTGGGTGAATATTTGACCAATTTTGTGAATTCTCTTTGAATTTTTATCATTTATTCTGTTCTGTTGTCCCGGTTTCTGTATGCCCACATTATGCACTTTCAGGATATTCTTTTGCTTTTGTGTCAAGTTTGGAGGCTTCTGTATGAATTGCTTGGGATTGTTTTGTTTCTGGAGGAGATACTGTAATTCCGTTCGTTTGTCCAGTGGAAGTAAGGGAGTGTCAAAATCAAATACTGTTTCTGACTCTGAACCGTCACTTTGCATTCCTTCTGGCTGCTTCGTTGCGTTAGGAACAGGTATTTTATTTGATGATATCAGACTTTCTATGTCCTCTTCTATCGGATTTGAGTTATTGGATTCATTACTATCTTTAACTTTTTCTTTTTCAGGAGAGCTTTCTGTCATTCTTTCAGAAGATTCACTATCGGGTTTTGCATCAGGTTCTGCAGACTTGCGCTGTTTAGATTTTGTGCGAGCTTTCTTTTTCTGTTTTCCACCACTGATACTGTTGTCGTCTAGGATGAATGTGTTTTCCATTTCACTTTCCAGTTCGGGCGGTAGCTCTATTTCGTATATTTGAAGTAACCTGGAATTTTAAAATATAGATTATTAAATACTAATAAGGTAACACCAAGATCAAGTTACATACATAATATAGCACCATATTTTACCGAAATTTTATACCCTACCATATTGCTATATTTGTTTAAAAATAATGAGCGTCTATAGAGACTAAAAGTAAGAATATGATGAATGTATTATCTGCATGTTCCAAAGAACCGGTTAGGGGGAAAGCAATAAGGACAGCTAAAAATCTAAATTTGCAAGAATGTATAAATTAAATGTATGCTCCGTAAAATAGATTGCGCTATTAACAATCATATTGTGTGTATTACACAAATTTAAATAAGTAATCCTAACTAAAACCGGAGAGGCCGATGTCTAGCAGTGGACTTTTATATTCTGATGATGACAATTATAAACGTGGTAGTAATATAATATAATAAAGTATACACAAACTAATTCACATGTTGTTAACTTCATAGCATGGGGATAAAGAATAGCTTAATGTAGTAATGTGAAAGAAAAATTGTAGTAATATTTAGTTTACTAGGTCTAATAGGCTTTTTTTCTTATAACCCATCTTTATATGTACCGACCTCTTGAAAGATTCTACCACCAAGTAGCAGTGCATTTGTGTGTGTGTGTGATGTTTGAAGTTGAAATCAGGTGACCATAGATTGCATCCTTCATCAGCCTTTAAAGGGAGGGTTTGCCATGATTGTCAGCTTGGCAGGCAGATCGATAATCACAGTACGAAACGTAAACTGGCTTTGACACTACCTATCGCCAATCCTGGTAAAAGTTCTGGTAAAGTTCAAGTCTTGCATGAATGAGATTATAGTACAGGTATATATAATCTATTGGAAACCATAAGATTTTTTTGGCATATCCTATAGCTGCCTTTTTTTTAGAAAAGAGTGGGCAAACGTGCATGCGGCTCGTCTGATGGTTAGTGTCAACCGCCGCCCATGAACAACTACAACAGTAGGGGAATTACAAGTGCGTTGCCGGATTTAAAAAAAAATAATTAAGCTCTTTTCTTGAAGGTCCGTAAGTCTTATTGCCGTCGTACAAAGAAGTCGTGCGAGGAAGAAAACTCCTAGAAAATCGTATAGTGGTGGACCTCCAAGCATCCAGATAGTGTGGATAGTATTGAGTTTTGTGCGTTGATGAAATTTGGCGACTTGACAATCACGGCACAAAATGTGGTGATGATTCTCTACCACCACCGCACGCCAAGGCTGCAGTGGTAACTAATAACAATATAAGATCACTGCTGAACATAGGGAGTGCTAGACCAAGAAAACCCACAAAGCACGGTCCTGAGCCACCTTCGGTCATCAACTCTCTGTAACTCTTACTAGGTCATCATTCCATCTAGGGCTTTATACACTTTGCGTAGTAATATGAGGCTGCATTCAACAACCTTTGTCCTTATTAGATGGCAGTTCTTTCAGCTATATTTAAAAGTTTGAGTCTACCTAAAAGCTTGTTGTAATGTAGCAATGTTCGCTGATGACACAAAGATATTCGCAAACCCACTAGTGGACTTTGATCGTCTTAAAGCAGATCTAATTAAAATAACAGATTGGTCAAAAAAGTGGCTTATTAAATATGAGTAAATGCACAGTCCTCCATATAGGAAACCGAAACCCTTGTTTCATACGAGGGTGGATTGAAAAGTACTCGGCCAAACACAGATCCATTCAATTCTAAAAATCAAATCTACCCACATTATTTAGTTCAGTTCAGACTAGTTCATTGTGTGAAGTTCGAAACGTGTGCGATAATTAGTTGATTTTATAAATTTATTAACAAAGTAATCGGACATAATTTCCGCGAATGGAGCAAATCGAGCAGCGTGCCGTCATTAAGTACCTCCATAAGAAGGGGCTATCATCAAAAGCCATCCATGATGACATGGTCAGTACATTAGGCGATTGTGCTCTGTCATATTCATCCGTCAAAAAATGGATAGCAGAATTTAAGCGTGGTAGAGAGAGTGTGAAAGATGAACCCCGCTCTGGAAGGCCTTCGACGTCAACTACTGACGAAAATATTAAAAAAGTACTTGTACTTTAATAATGGGAGACCGCAGATTAAAAATTAGAGAGATAGCCGAGATTATAGGCATCTCTTATGAACGAACTCAAAACATCATTGTCAACGAGTTGGGTTTCCACAAGGTGTCTGCGAGGTGGGTTCCGCGACTGCTTTCAGTTGAACAAAAAAGGACGCGATTGACTATTTCACGCGACTGTTTGGAGTTATTTGAAGCCGATGCAGATGATTTTTTGAATCGTTTTGTTACTATGGACGAAACATGGGTTCATTACTGTACACCGGAAACAAAACAACAATCAAAACAGTGGAGAAGACCTGGTTCACCACCCCCTAAAAAGGCTAAGTCGATTTTGTCGGCAAATAAGGTGATGGCTTCAGTATTCTGGGACTCGAAAGGTGTGATTATGATTGATTATCTTGAAAGGGGTCAGACTATAAACTCTGATTACTACTGCACCTTACTACGTCGTTTACGAGAGGAAATAAAAGAAAAACGTCGAGAAATGCTCAGAAGAAAAGTCCTGTTTCATCAAGATAACGCCCGTGTTCACACGTCAGTACAGTCAATGGCTGAAATTCACAACTGTGGCTTTGAACTGTTACCGCATCCGCCGTATTCACCTGATCTGGCACCATCAGACTTCTTTCTGTTCCCTAAACTAAAAAAGCACTTGGGAGGTCAAAGATTTTCGACAAACGACGAGGTCAAAGCAGCTTTAGACGCATATTTTGACTCTAAGGAAGAATAATTTTTTTTCAACGGTCTAAATGCTTGGAAGGGGAGGTGGCAAAAGTGTATTGAACTTGATGGTGATTATGTAGAAAAATAAAAATATAACTGATTTAGTATGTGTTTATTTTCTTGGTTAGGCCGAGTACTTCAGAGTTTTCAATCCACCCTCGTATATAAAACCAATGATATACCTTTGGAAAAAAGATTTAGGTGTGCATATAAGTAACGATCTAAAATGGAAACATCAGATCACAGTTATATTTATCTGCGTCGTTGTCAGTTACTCTGGTTCAACTGGGATATCCTCTGTATCCATATTGTGAAATAATAATATTCTAATATTGTAATAAAAAAGAAAATCAGACCTGCGTCTACAAGCCTGTGCATATTTATCATTGTGCCCTGGCCGCTGTAGCAGCGTGCAATAGTTTCTGCACATTTTGCACAGCACGGGCCGCTCGGTGAACTGCACTGGCACACCAGCATCCTTCAGTAGTGGGTTCAGTTCCAAGTAGCCCTGCAATAGTATATTGTTGTTGGGTTCTGTTATTCTATCTATCAGTTGAATGTATAGTTATAAATTTTATAAATAGTGAGACTTTTCTAGCTTTCACACATGTATAGATGAGATAGATATTCAGCAAGGAAGCATAGCCAGCGTTCTTGGTATTATATCGGGGGGGGGGGGGGGGGGCTGTATGATAATTTAAGTTTCTAGTTTTAGTATTATTATTAAATTAATACTATAGTATGTTTTTATTAAACTAATAAATATAGTATGTCAGTTTATTGACTAATATAAACTGCTATTTATGGTTGACATACAATATCGATTTCGGTACATAGTTAAAATGTATATAATATTGAATACAAATAATTATGTTTGTCCTTGTGAAATTTATGTATGTAAATTGCACCCATAATATAGGATTAAAATCCTAATTTGGAAGAAACATTTTTTTTTAAAGAAACAAAAACAGACCAGGGATTCGAACCCGGGAGCTCAGAATCGGCAATCGCGTTTACGACCACTAGACCAATGAGGCAGTCATTCAATATCATATATGGCAGAGCAATTAAGTTACTTTATAAACCAATATAAACATTTCTAATATAACAAAATCATTATAGAACCCCCAGTTATTGTCAACCAAAACAACCATACAACAATACATATATTTCATAATTTGGATGAAGATATCGTAAAATAAGAAGTATAAGCGCGTACGGATAAAGAATGGGATTAGATCTGGCGACTCATAGAGTCAACATGTCCGGTACCAATAGCGAAAACCCGCCAATAACGATATATGGTTGTAACGTTATATTATTTGGTTGATTGGGAAATTTTTATTAATGAGAAAATATCTGGAAAAACGCAAGTAGGTACATTAATTTAAAATTAAATTTATAACTATAGACCCGTTCTGACTTTGCCTGGGTGGTTTCTAATAATTTGGCGTTATTTAGATTTAAGATAATCATTAAAGACCATTTATTTTGTCTTATCAATATTTTTATAAAATCTCTAAATCCTTTCAAATAAAATTTAGTCCAGATCACTCCTGGTATTACACTCGATTTTTTCGTGAAGTTTCATTGCAATTGGTTTAGCCATTCCGAAGATGAGCTAGAACAAACAGGCAAAGGAAATTTTTAAAAATGGTTACTTATTTCTATATATAATAGTTTTTGTTTGAGATACCATTAAGGTCACTATTAAATATTACGTTGACAAGAAATATTGTATTGTAAGAGGGTGACATTGAAAGTTCTTAGAAAATCGAAAACTGAACAAACTAGCATGTTATTAGTTTTATTATATCTTCTCAAAATAGTGTCCATTTACATCAATATATCGCTGCATCCGATGTCACCACTGAGAAAAGTACTTTGCCCACTTGTCCTTACGGGGTCTCTTCTACGGCATTTTGAAACGCAACCACTGCTTCTTCGGCGTCCATAAAATGTTTTCCTCAAAGTTTTTCTTTTAATTTTGAAAATATATGAAAATCGCAAGGTGCGAGGTCGGGGTCTATAGGGCGGGTGACCCAGTAATTCTACGTCTGACGTCGCGTCGCCAAGTAGTCGATTGTTTGCTTGGCGGTGTGCGACGAGGCGTTTTCGTGGTGAAGGAGGATCCTACTGCGAGGTCGTTTCTACCGAACTTTTTCCAAGACAAGTGGCAAATAATTATTAGTGTACCACTCCGAAGTTACTGTTTTTCGATCCTTTAAAACAATTATTGCGTAATTACCTGTTCTTCCGAAGAACGAGGCCACCATCTTTTTTCCCACGCTTCGACCTCTGTTCACATTAGTTGGAAACACCCAGAACAGCAGACTTAATATTCTTAATATTTTTTTTTTATTTTTTTTATTTTAGAAAAAAGAATATTAACAATGCTATAAACATTACTAATATTCCCCATTAACCACTCGTGGTAAGCTTAAATTGCTTGTGTTACGAGTGGTTCACGCCAGTAGTCGAATGGCGGATTCGAACCCACGACCTTTTTGAGTTCGCGGTCCGCGCCCTGCCATTAGGCTGCTGTCGCTTGTAAACTGTCTCTTAGTTTCAGGATTATAGCAATAAATCCAGCTTTTGCCACCCGTAAGTATGTCGAACACAGCATTTGAGTCACTTCCGTTAAATCTTTGAACCATTTCACGACACCAATCAACACGACGGAGTTTTTGGGCCTTTGTCAAATTATGAGGTATCCACCGGGCACAAAGCTTCCTGACCGCTAATTGTTCATGGAGGATTTTGTGCACTTGACTCATACCGATGTCTAAGCTTATCTGAATCTGCTGATAAGTCACTCTTTTGTCAGTCTCTATCATACGCCCCACAACACTGATGTTATCTTCAGTCGGCGCCGTAGAAGGCCGTCCCCTCACGCAGATCATCGGTGAGTTTAGTGCGACCTCGTTTAAACTCGTTAAACTAGTTGTAAACAGTGGCACGAGATGGGGCTTCATCGTGAAAGGCCAATCGAAGTCTATCATAAATTTCTTGTTGACTTAAATGACATCGAGTCATAATAATCAATGGACGAAAATTTTCTCGCGTTAAATTCATGCTGACGTGACACAGACAATTTATGAATTTGCCGCCAAAAACAAAAAACAAATTAATAAAATACATACACAATAATATTGGCAATGAGTTCCATTTCCAAAATTTGAATTTAATTTTTAATTATATCATTAACAAGTGGCCAGTTATAAAAACTTTCAGTGTCGCCCTCGTATGAAACAGTTCGCAAGGCAAGGCAGTAAGGCGTTGTTAGGACATTTGAGCATGTACTCACGTGGTGTATGAAGTGCACGTTGTGGTGCTTGGTGATGCGGCGGCGGCACAGCACGCACGCCATGAGCGGCGCCAGCGCGCGGTGGTGCTCAGCGCACAGCGGGATCGTGTGCAGCCCCGGGTAGTCGCACTCCAGCTTCAGCTTCACATACAGAAATGGGAATGAAATGTGAGTTTTTCACTATTTATTTACACCTCCTCCATTTTTTTCTTTCTAAACATTTTACACCGTTAACCTTTTATCAGCGATTATCTGTTTGTTAGTACTTTTAAATTACTTGATAAACTTTGATGCAATTTTAATATATTGCAAGGATAAGTAATTACATTGTAAGGGTGGTAGACTAAATTCAATCTGTATCTGTAATCTGCTCGAAGTTGTTGACGAGTACGTTTACTTGGGACAAATAGTCCGACTAGGTAAGTCCAACTTCGACCGAGAGGTCAATCGACGGATTCAACTCGCCTGGGCAGCGTTCGGGAAATTACGACACATCTTCTCGTCAGGTATACCCTCAATCTCTAAAAACTAGATTGTACAACCAGTGCGTGTTGCCAGTGATGACTTACGGATCTGAGACGTGGTCCTTCACTGCTGGCCGTATGAGGACGCTCAAGGTCGCTCAGCGAGCTATGGAGAGGGCTATGCTTATGCTAGAGTTTCTCTGCGTGATAGACTCAGAAATGAGGATATCGGCAGTAAAACCAAAGTGACCGACATAGCCCAACGGATTAGTAAGCTGAAGTGGCAATGGGCCGGCCATATAGCTCGAAGAACCGATAACCATTGGGGAAGAAAGGTTCTCGAGTGGCAGCCTCGTATCGGTAGGCGTAGTGTAGGGCGACCCCCCACTAGATGGAGTCACGACCTGGTAAGATATGCAGGAAGTCGATGGATGCAGGTGGCTCAGGACCATGCTTTGTGGCATTACTTGGGGGAGGCCTATGTTAAGCAGTGGACTTGTGAAAGCTGTAATGATGATGATGATGATATTATTTCAGGTTTCCAAAAGATCCGGGTAATAAAGATAAATACTTATCCTTAACGTTTTATTATAACCCCTTTTCTCTATTTATAAAAGCGTCTATTACTAAACACATCTACTACTGAGACACTTTCATTACTTAGTTATATCTTAGTGTGAGACTCCTGGATGGAGTGCCACACGTTAATTATGCCTCCTGTTTCCTCCTATTTTGCGTTTTTATAAAATATTCCTTAACGCAATAATTTATAGTTTAATCTTTGTTGCATGAATGCTAGAGATATGTGTAGGCGAAATTGTGTATTTATTGTTTGTCTAGTGTGTTAGCTGCGAACCCACGACACGCGTCCCGATATTAAAAGACAGTAGAAGGCATTTCTAGTACTTTATTTATTAAGATTTCTGTGATTAATAACGAATATTACGATAAAGTATCTGAAATCGGGATTTTTCAAACATTTAAAATTTATAACTCCTAAAATAATAACTTTATCATGAAGTCATAAGAGATTTCTTGCTCATATTTCATCAAAAAATATAAAAAAATATTTTGCATATTTTATGATTTTTCTATATATATTTTTAATGAGTCAAAAAAGGTTTATCAAACTTTTAAAAATTCAATTGCCTAAAAAAGGACGAATGGATTGTATTAAGGATGATATGCGTAAGAAAGGAGTGAGTGCACAGGTGACCGGGTTAGAAAAGAGGTGGGCCTAAGAAAAGACGAATGGATTGTATTAAGGATGATATGCGCAAGAAAGGAGTGAGTGAAAAGATGACGGCTAATATAACATATGGTATGCGGACCCCAAGTAACTTAGTATAAGAGCAGGAAGAAGAAGAGAGCTAGTAAATAAGATAATACTCACCAGTTTATTAACGCTAGATCTCATCTTGATAAGCCATTTCCTTCGTATGGAGTGCTCAGCTAAGGCACTGCAGCCCGCTGTATGGCAAGTAGCTCTGCGAACTTCGCGGGCTGGATTCGCCTCTTCTGAGCTCTCGTCCATCTCTTCCATTGAAGGACTCCGAGGGTTCTCCATGCTGGAAGAAAATGGTAGAATTTTGATGAAATTCTGGATTGCACCGCAGAGCTCACATTATTATTGGATGATTCTAAGGAAATCTACAGGATTTTGAAGTAAAACTTCTTTAAGGCGCGACTAGAATGTAAGGTAAGGTAGCTCTTTTCAGATAAAAGTAATGTACATATAACTTTTTAGACATTAATACAATAAGCTAACATTAATTTCTACAACTTTATACACGAATAAAATAATGATAATTTTATTGATAAAAATTTTAATAAAAAGAAAAAACAAGAAAAATATTAGATAAAAATCACAACAAAAATAAATATATAAATGAATTAAATATTAATATCAACAAGTTTTACTTCAACCGCGAAGTTAGGGCAGACACATGAGTGTTGAACTCGTAGGCCACCTGCCGGGCTAGCGCGGGCAGGAGACAAAAATTTTACCCCCGATTATATACACTGACAACAGATAAAATTGTCTTATCCCTATGCCAGAGTTTTATCCACTCTGCGAGCATGGGCCTATGGTGGATATAATAACCACAGAGAGATAAAATGGGAGATAAACTTATCCCCGCGCGTACAAGGAAACAAAGCGGAACGCCTCGAAACTGTGACGCTTCCGCAATAAAAAAAATCGAAGTGGTAAAAAGTTAACGGATTTGTGTTCTTAGTGTCAAAATTTGCGTATTAACGAGACGCATCTAGGGTGTAATTTCTTTGCCGCAAAACAGCTTTTAGTGATTTTTCTAGTGAAAAACAGTTTTTTCTCATATTGGCAAAACAGTAAATCGCGTGCGGCGCTCGATTAGTCGCCACAACCTGCTTAAGTGACAATTTTTTTAGTGATTTTTGTGCGCCACCTGGGGACATATCATCCCCGTCCTCATTCAGGTGTTAGTTTGTGACCTTTGAGCAGGTCAAATATATGAAATTTGACCTCCTCAAAGTTCAAAAACTTTACTAAAATAAGTTTGTATAAAAGGGTTATTAATTATTAGGTATAATAATAAATGGGGGAAAGTTTCCTCATATTTTATTCGTATAAAATTGAAGAAACATTTTTTGGTTGTATTGTTGCGCGCCTAAGTTGACTTCTGGCACTAGCGCCATCTAGTGTCGGGTATCGAATTGAAGAACTAAGCTTTCTGGAAGCCCCGCACTCGAACTTTCGGCGCCTGGTCGATTGGCGTGCGTATTTACTTAAATATTCTGGATGTTTCGGCGTAAAAGTGTATTTAAACCCGCTGCATGCCGCGAACGGGGCAGTATTGAATTCGGCGAGACAAGCGAAGCTTCGGAGCGAAATAAAGTGAATCAGTGTGACTAATTATTAGTGTTTTAAGTTTTAATTGGCGTTCGGTAATAAAAGTGTAAATTTTGGTAATTCAATCGGCAGTTTTTATTGTCACGAACCTCAAGCCTTAACAGTATTGTTTGTACCTGGCTGGTTTTAATATAATATCAATACATATAGGACATTAAGAAAAAGAAATATAAAAAACACTTTCCCGCAATTTAGCAATTGTTTTTTTTTCCGCCAAAATGAGTGAATGTAACGAAGAAATTCGATACATTCTGAAGTCTTATTCTAAAAAATTAAGGAAAAATGCCGCTCAAGAAAATTTTGTGACGTTTATGGATCTAACGCAGTGTCAGTAAGAGTAGCACAAAGTTAGTTCAAGCGTTTACAGTCCGGGAATTTTGATATCAAAGATGCACCTCGCTCTGGTCGCCCTCATACGGATAAAGTCAATGCCATTTTTGAAAAAAGTGTAGCAAGATCGGCATATTAGTAGTTACGACATAGCCTAGGAATTGAGGATTGATAGCAAAACAGTTTTGACCCATTTGAAAATGTCTGGCTATACAAAAGAACTTGATATTTGGGTACCACACGAGCTCACTGTAAGAAACCTAATGAATTGTGTACTCATTTGCGATTCTCTATTGAAACGTAATGAAACCGAACCATTTTTGAAAACATTGATCACTAGTGAAAAAAAAGGATCACCTATAGTCAAGCTCCAGAAACTGTAGCGAAACTTGGATTAACACGCAATAAGGTGATGCTGTGTGTAGTATAGTAGGATTGGAAGGGCATCGTTTATTATGAGTAGTGAATACAATCCCGCGGATCTGCAATCCCGCATGATATTAGCGGGATAGCACATGCGGGATCCGCAAGATTTTATTTTTCCGGCCTAAATTCGCATAGCATCATGTACGGTACGAATGAACGACAATAGTCGGATACCCAAATTGAAGTACGTATGTGTGTGAGTTGAGTTACGAGTGAACGGGAATTTGTCTCTGTACGGGGATTCCCCAAAATATCTGTCGGTACTCTACTAATGCTTGCACTTTTTTTTCAGTTTTGACTCGTGAGTTCGTGACGTACTGTGCGTACTTTGTGACATGCGATTTAAATTGAAATAAATTTAAACGGTTTATTTTTATATTTGAACAGCAACATTCTATCTAAATAAAATTGGTTAATTAATAACTGGCTATAAGTAAAGTTGTAATTGGGAACTTAAAAATGAATGCTGAAGTAATTTAAAAGGAATACGACAGTAATAAATTATATGGCAGCACTTCCTAAGATCGGAAGATGGCTTTTCTGCTAAGTGTAAACGTTGTCCTTCTATCTTAAAGGCTTGCAAGTACACTTGCGTACGAAGTATAAGATAACAGAGGAATCTGTACGTAGCGTTAGTGATACTGAAACCGCCAGTACAAGCTTTTCGCATCAGCATTCACAACAAAATACTTTAACGCCGGCTAAAAAGGTAAAAGTCAGGTCAAAGGTAAAATCCTGCAAATCTTGCAGACCCGCGGGACTGATGGTCTCAATCTTGCGGATTTGCAAGAATATCTTTTGGGCGTTGGATTGCATTCCCTAATTGAGCTTTTACGATATTATTTGTCGATTCGGATCTTTACTGCCAACAACCAACCTAACAAGAAATTGAGAAAAAACGACCGAAATTGATCAACAGAATACAAGTTTTCTTTCATCGTGATAACACCAGACCACACACATTTTCTGCCACTCAACAAAAATTGAGAGAGCTTGGTTGGGTAGTGTTAATGCATTCACCAGTCTTAAACTTACACCCTCAGGTTTTCGCCTGTTTCGGTCTTTTAAGAATTCTTTGGGTAGTGTTAGGTTTAGGAGAACACTGTCAAAACTACTTGTCGCATTTTTTTCTTCTTTCATTTCTACACCAAAGGGATTATGTCACTAACTACAAAATGGCAACAATTTATCGAACAAAATAGCACATACATGTTATAATTAAATGTAATTAAACTTTGAAAAAAAAAAAGTCTTTAACTTGTATTTATAAAATCCGAAAATACTTTTTCCCCAAGCTAATATTAAGGAATTTATGTATGATAATAACCATTGGGAATGAGGTAATAGCTACCAAGCTATTTCTAATTTGTTTTTTGTATGACTCTAAACTGTAATTTTTTTTAGTCGCACTGGGTATCTTGCTGGTTCTTCCCAGGAAAGAGGTTTCCTTCCGAACAAGTGGTAATTAAACAAAAAAGTGACTTTTAATAAGTATTATTTATAATCTATATTGAATAAGTTGAAAAGTTTCTGTTTCTGGTGGTGTCAGGTTGCGAGGGCGTGTTCCTTCCTCAGACGAACCGACCCATTAGTCTTGCAGGCAGTATGGCTCTACCACATATAGAACTAGTTTTATTAGGCTAATATTAAAATACGGTGTTTTAGAGTGTTTGCAATTTTAAATATTAAGTAAAAATCTATAAGCATTACAGTAAATTCTCCAAATATATTTTATTGCTAGATATATTTTGTGATTTCTAAGGCATGAAGGAATGTAGACATGAAAGGGCGGGTCTCTATCTTGTAAATATCAGTGGTATGCTTCCAATTACAAGATGTGAATATTCTTTTAATGTTTTTATACAATGTTTCTGTGCCACAAAAACACGAGCTTTTTTTACTATGAGAAATTAAATCGCCAAATAAAAAAAATGTAGTGATGTCGAAACCAAGATTTGAATTAAGTTTTTTGCGAAAGACCTATCACAGTGGTATCAAAATAAAGTGCCTAAACTTTCAATTATTACGGTGAGCTGTTCCTTGTAAATCTACATATAAACTCACACATTGTCAGGTGGCGAAGGCTGCTGAGGCGTATCTGGAGGCTTCACGAGTGGCCTTTTGCGATATGAGGGACAGTTGGCTCTTCGGTCTACGTGTCGGTAGCAAGCGTCGCATAGACAACTGTCTATGGTCAGTTTCTCCTCATCTGGAGATCGAAACAAAATATTGTCCAACTATAAAGTATTTAATAAATATAACAAGACTATAAGCCCCGCATGTTGATATTACGACTGGCGACCATCTTAGTGACGTAGTCGAATGGTCAGTACCGTTCGCAAGGTCAGCCAGCGCTTACGCGTATAGAGTACCTCTAACCACGTGTTTTCATAGCTTTTTATTTTCGTTATCCTGTTTTATTTTTGTTGTAAATTTTTGTTATTGTTATCATACTTATTCTGTTACAATGAGTCAGAAAATAATTAACAGCCGTGCTCGTGAAATGATTATTAAAGTGGACTATTATTTTGTAAAGGAGAAGGAAAATATTTATAATTAAATACCTATAAATATATGTATATAATACAATATAAATACTTATAACCCAAGGTTATTAACTTTTTTCACCAGAGGTGGCAACACCCCACACGAAAAGAAGATTAAAGTTTTTGTTGTCTGTACATTTTTGCGGTTGGTGACGTCACGCAACTCTTATTGTGACAAAGTTCCATCGCAATATCAACGTGCGGTGCTTATAGTGATAAAACTAATAACGTATCTAAACTTGAAGTAAAGATTCAGTTATGTTTTTTGATGTAGCATGATGTATGGTAGTAATATTTTTAATCAATGGTTTTGTTTATATATGTGACGATTAGTTATAACCTAAAATATTAAAAAGTTGCTAAAATATAGCAAACTATTTTAAAACTTAAAGGATAGGCTACAAATAAAAAATCCATTAAGATTTATGTTATTTAGGTTCTTTTATAAAGTGTATAATAAATTATTAACTTAAGAATATGAAAGGTAAAGGTAAGGAGCACCATTTTCTATGGGGTACAAGTAGAAAGTGTCCAGCTGTAAGCTGCAAATCATAGTCAAGAACTCACCAAAATAGCGCCAGCGTAACGAGAGGAAGTAACGTGAATTTAGCAGTTGTAAACGGAGCGAAGTGTGCTGAATTCAAGTTTAATATCTCTGGTGACTACTGTAGTTGAGAATATTGCAGTTTATAAAACGTCAACTATTTACATAGTTCAAAGTAATTTAGTAAATATCACCACCTATGAAAGTGCCAAGATAACAGGGAGAGTGATTTCATTTTTGTAAGCTTTTGATAATACTATTTCGTGATTTTAATGTCTTTACTGTTGTCAAGCATAAAAATATAATTGAACAATAATAGGAAGTTTGTAAAGTGAAAAGTTATCTAAGTGGGCGACATTTCAAAAAATTTAGAAAATCTTACATCTTAGCCTCCACCTTTTTTCGATCAACAGTATGTAAAATGAATTTATATTAATGATTATTTATTCAATTAACAATTTTTAACTTTTATAATTATCTTGGTAAATTATTTTTGGCGCTATCTTCAAAATTTGCCCCCTTGCTACCGAAGCGCCACCATAAATGGATGCTTCTCGACGGACACTTTTTCATACACAGAGATGGTCCTTACCTTACCTTTACCCTCCATAGTTAAGAACTAAAAATAAAAATGGATGACAGACATGCATAGTATTTCAAAATGGCCGCTTACCTGGATGAATCCGCCTGTCAGCTATTTGAATAGAGAAAACAATTGGAGATGGGTAATTTTTTCCTACTTGATAAGTACGGCATATAGTAAATTTCCTTTTCATTAGGCCTAAATTCGTGACAACATAGGCGGCCATTTTGAAATGCATAGATACTCACTGTCCAGCACTTTCCGTTGCCGTTCACTGCTCTTCATTTGTGCGATGTGACATGGAGTGTCGAAGAGTCCAAATTTGCCGCCGCAATAGAAGCACTGGTCCATGCAAAGTCGCCCTGGATGTATACTGAATGAAGATGCCTTTTCGGGAATCACTAAGTTTGGAGTGTCTTTCGACGGCTCGGGCTCCGGCACCGCTTCCGCATCTGTTCCAACAACTTTATTTCTTAATTATTTAAATAGCGCTGTGTGTTGGAATTAGTGTAAGTTAGTAGTAGTACAATTAGACCCGTGCGGACGATAATTGTTTTTTAAACCAGAACCGACAGCCGTGTTGTATTTGATAGAATTTTTCACGTTGCTTTTTTGTTAGTTTTGAATGAATTTAATTGCAACTTGACATGCGGTTTCGTATTTAAACTAATGTTACCGTGTCAAAATCAGTTCGTTAAGTATGTGATATTAGTATTGTATGTTTTTGATGCTGATATGCTATAAATGATTACCCTCCACACACATTCGCTGTCACGTGGATCATTTTAAAGACGTATTTATTTCACGTTTGTGTATACAATATGTAAAGAGAATGTCCGATCCGAAAGGGGTCCACAAGTACCTTAATGATATATCCTATGACACAATTATAATGTACAATATATTAATAAAATACATAAAGGTTTTTGTTAGGTACTTAAAATACATGTTTTTACCACAATTTGCGAAATATTAGAAAATTTCTAAACTGATAACGCACTTAGGCCGAACGCGCGCATGTAAGTTTCCCCATTTTATTTTTATTTCATTTTCGAGGGTTTAATTTATTATCCGAAAAATATTATATAAATAAAATCATATCACGATACCTAAAATAACCCTCGGACACGGTTTTTTACATTTTGTATACATTACTCACTGTACCCCAATGTAAGACCAACACCCTCAGCAACCAACGAGTTACTTGATTGCGCATTGGTTACATTTTGTGTGTTAAAAATTACGGAGAGAAAATATTTACAAGTTCAGTTGCAAATATTACATAAAAATTAAAATTGGCTTTTATTATTTTTTTATTTTATATAATATACGTTTTTTTATTTGATATGCCCGCATCCTTGTTTTATTAATATTATATATTACGTAAATATGTTATTGGAAGCTTTTATACATAGGTCAAGCTCGATTAGAATAAACAATTATAGTTTTATATGCATATTGTATCAAAAATAACTAAAGCAGATTTTCAGCATACATGGACATTTATTTGACCACATTTAGTTAAAGTTTCCTAGCTATTTTAATTTTCAATAAAAATCTAATCGAACCCGACCTTAGTGAAGGGACCAACGTAATTGGGAGCAACATGTTCTTTAAACATTACATATTCCATTCAGTGTAAGAAAAATATGAATTATAACAAGTTGTTACGAAAATCAGCCTAAGAAATCAGCAATCTTTCAACATTTTTTTTTCTATTTGTCTGACTAAACTGCTTTAACATAATTTAAAAATATTAACAATTCAAATAGACCTGTTTGAAAAATTACGTTATTTATTTTAGAAGGAGATTTCAATAGAGGACGACATTTTTTAATGTTAAGATTAAGAGTGGGTGTTATTTCCGCTTCCTTGCTCCCAATTACGATGTGAGGGTGAGTGTAGATGTCCACACACCATGGTTGTTAAGCCGATTACTGTAATGTGACTTTCTGTGCCCACCGTCTGACGTAGCGCCCGCGCCGCCCTGGGGAAGAAACAAATCTCCATTATAAGTTAGTTATAAGTTAAAATCACTAAACAAAAAGTATTATCATAATTATCATTATTAGACCCACAAGTTCCTTGATAGATATAAACGACTTTTGGTTTTATAATATAGAATCTATACAGAACACAGAAATATAGAGCCACGTTGCAGCTATATGTGTATGGTTGTAGCAAGAAACGGGCCGGCTCGACTGGGTAAGACCACTTTCTCATAGAATACCAGCGTAAAATAGCAGTTATATTTTGCTGTGTTTCGTACAGTGAGTGTAGAGAACCAGAGACCCTTTTTACCAAAACAAAACAATTGTAGATGTAGATGTTTATGGACCACAGCATCCACTTACCATCAGGTGGACTGTGTGCTAGTTTGTCACTGATATTCAATAAAAAAACTAGTCATAATATGCTGCTAAGTATTAGGCGCTGATGAGACCTAAAATACCTAATATACAGCAACAGTAGTTTACGGCAGCAAAAAAAATATTTCTTAAACATATATATCTGAGAACAGCCTTCTTTTGTGACATAAGTTTTTGTATAATTTTTTTTAAATTAATCGAATACTAAACGGGCCGCTTAAAATGAACTCCCACCAAAAATATCGGTATTATTTATCAACGTGTGTTCGTAAAATCTATCGAAAAGTCCACTGCTAAACTTTTTTTTTACAGAATAAGGGTGTGAAACGAGCATACACATGATGGTAAGTGGTTGCTGTGGCCCATAGACATCTACATCTATCCTCGATTACGAATCAAAATGCAGATGCGTTGTCACTCGTGAAAACTAAGATGGAATGCCTCGTTTCCAGTAAAACAGGTCTCCGGTTCTCTAGACTCACTATACGAAACACAGCAGCATTGAGTTACTTTTTTACGCTGGTATTCTGAGAGATTTGTGCTACAACCATACTACTAATATTTTTTATAGGATAGGGTGACAAACGAGCACACAGTCCACCTGATGGTAAGTGGTTGCTGTGGCCCAGAGACATCTACATTTATCTTCGATCACGAATCGAAATGCAGATGCGTTGTCACCCGTGAGGACTAACCTCACCATACGAAACACAGCAGCATCAAGCTACCATTTCACGCTGGTATTCTGTGAGAGCGTGGTCCTTTCCCGGTCGAGCCGACCCATTCGTGCTACAACTATACTACTAATATAACTAACTAATCTAATATAGTTGTAATATGGCTCTACCACGTAAAAACGTACGTAAGCCTTTCCCATAGGTTGCCTCACAAGGAGGATATTTTCCATAGTTATTAGTTACCACGCTTGGCAATCGAAGTTTTCAATTTCTAGTTATATTTAAGGAAAATTCTGCTGCATGTGTTTTCCTCTGTCGCCTCTTTTAACACCCACGGGATGATACGGGGTAGTGGATATTCTTACACCGCCACTACACGGTTACGAAATATAGAAAATAGTTGTTTTTTATTTTCGATTTCTCAACATATTTGTAACTAATTATCAACCGACTTCAAATAAACGATGTTATATTTAACGCGTACGTTTTGTATGTACCGGATTTAAATAATGGGCTAAAGCATTTTTTTGTCATCACTAGTGTGATGTTGCCAAACTAGTGTAGTCACTCAAACCAGTATAAGAAAGACTATGTCCGACATCGGACTCATCTTAGTGTTCAGGGGTGACAACAAAACTGCGTTTTGACTCTTAATTGAGGAAGAAGAAGATGAGGTGTCTATAAAGTTAAAGGTACAATGATGCTGTTACGCATCGGCGGTCAGTTTTTTTATAGTTAAAATAAAGTTAAAGCCTATACTCGTAAAATATGTCCCACAGGTGAGTAGACGTTCTCTCATTTCTGAGAGGTTTTTTTAAGGCAAGGGAGTGTGTTCGCTGCGTTATCCCAATGCGTTTTGCGGACATCATATCGAAATAGATTTTTTTTTAATTTTTCAGACATGCAAATTTTCTTGCGATATTCTTCTCCTTGACCGCCGAGTAAGTGGCAAATCAGCACTTCAAATTGCAATTAACAATTTGATTGGTGTCGGCAAGGATCCAACTCAGTTTTTTATTGGGAATTTTACGATGAGAGCTTTAGCTCTGAACTACGAGTACAATGGCTCTAGACATAGAATACTATAATACATACATAATAGAACGGGGGAGTGGACGGAGCCCGTGTAGCCACTAAAATGTCACTAACACGTCAATTCACATGTATAAATGTCAACACAAAATGTGTTTTGACGTTACAATCGTTTCCAAATTTCCCACGCAAATTATTTAGAAAATGCCAAATTGCACGCTATTTACAAATAAATATGTATTAAAATCTGTTTGTAAACACAGCAAATCGGGTTTGTAGTAGTGATAATACGACGTTATTGCTTGTATTTGTGCTCCCGAAGACGCCTATCGTCGTACAAAATGAGGTTGACAGCAATTCTATTGTGTATTATAGTATGCTATGGCTCTAAACGTATATTTTATATATGCTATAAATACTATACGATTATAGCGCCTTTTACCGAAAACCAAAAGATCTTCCAAGCATTAATTATATGGAGTAGTGGTTCCTCTCACACCGCAACAACAGTGAGAGAAGAACATGGATCAGGAAATGGTTCTCAGTATTCCTGATAGCAACTCGAAATCATATAAACTACGGTTGACAACCTCCTGGCAAGCGTGGCAACTATGGCATATATCCTCCCTATAAAGTAATCTATCGTAGAGGCCGTTTAGCAGTGAACTTTTTTAACCGACTTCAAAAAGGAAGAGGTACTTAATTCTACTGTATGTTTTTTTAATGTGTTTCAGAACTTTTCTCTAGGTGAACCGATTTTAATGATTCTTTTATTTGAAAGCTGGGAAGGGTGCTAAATTTGATCAAGATCTGACCAGTAATTTGTGAGTTATCCTCAATAATGCGTATTAATTGACTTCGACTACATTCGGTTGTACAAATTTTTTTAATTTTACCATTTGTTGATAGACTGTAATTAATGAATGAATTTTGACGCTTCCACCATACGGCTCTTATATGACGTGTCGTTCAGAGGCTTTCTGCTTAAGATACCTAAAGGTCTGAGACTAAACTTGCAAATTTCGAGACCCTGTATATCTTATTGGATCTGTAGAAGTCTAATAGAATTGCTAGCCAGAAGATATTTAAAGAAAATTACATTAATCGTTGATTTACCACGTGTCCGGCGGTGAAGGCAAACATCGTTAGAAAACCAGCATGACTGATAAATAAGAAAAAAAAAATATTTCGAAGACATGTGAAGTTCGCCAACACGCATTGGGGTCGCCCGGCGGACACTTCCTTGCCCTAAAAATCCTATCAAAAATGAGAGGAGGCCTGTGCTCAGTAGTGAGACGTATTACGCTGTAACTTTAACATTAATCGTCAAAATTAAAACGTAAAAACCATCGTCAATCTTATAGAATCAAAACAAAGGCTTGCTTGCTTTTCAGTTAAAGATAGTTGCGAATTGTTAAATGCTTATTTACCACATTCACGTGTGAGAAATAAAATAAAAATATCTAGGAATATATGTGAAGTCTGAAACGCACGCATCAGGGCAGCATGGCAAACTTCAGACGTGTCGTGTGCAACTTTAAGCTTTACTTAGTTTTACATTATTCAGGAGAGAGCATTGTCTAAGGGTTTAAAATTACAGGTCGAGACCGGTAAAACGTAGTAATGTGCATTAAAATTGTGACGTGTTAAAAGTCACTATTTGGACCACGAACGTTAGAGAACAGGAGAATAATCGCCGTAGAAAATAGTGTCCCAGAAATATGGACACCATAAGTGAGGCGTTGCGATCGCTAAGTTCGGTCAATAAAAGTCATTTTCAGTCTATTTTCTCTCTTCTCGTCTATTATCAGATGCAATTGCACATCCACTTGTACATTCACGCAGAATAAAATATTTCTCCATTTTTAATGTTTCTTTTTGTCAAAAATAAAAAATTACGGAGCATGAAAATTATCTCACCAATGCGGAGGAGAAAATTTGTACATTATTCAACTAACTTCATCTACTTGTACTCATAAACAGCTACCTTCGCAGCCACTACTCACCGACGGCAACGCGGCTATAAATTCTACAATTTTCAAGGACAGGCGGGCTATGCTTTAGTACGTAGTGATCATTCTCCTGTTCTCTAAACTTCATGATTTGGACAATGATTTGCGTTGGAAAAGACTCGCACCATATACAAGTCTCTTAACAATATCTGACCTTTAAATAAACAATAATAATGGTAAAAGGTGTGGTATACAGACACAGAAAGTTGTAGGTTATAAACCGCCATTCGGTTACTGTAGTGAACCAAATCAAACACGAGCATTTGAAGTATACTTGGAGTGGTAAATGGAAGTATTAGTGACGTTATTGCGTTACTAGTATTATTTTCTTTTAAATACAAAAACATTTCGTCCCGTTTGTGTTGTAAGAGCGATAGAGGGAAACTGGAGCTGGTGATCGGCAGCAGTATCTTCCTCATAACTGCTCAATGATTTTAAAAAAGACTGCAGTTGACAACTTGCCTGCTAAATTGTTTAAACTATGCTAAAATTATCTTATGAAGCAATCTAAGTGGGAGACATATCTTTAACAGTGGATTAACATGGGCTGTAATTAAGTCAGAGAACAAATGAGAATGCTTACCTCGCGCCTCTCAATGGTGTAGTAATCCTCGCCGACTGCCTCACCAACCTCCGGCGCCAGCTTCCCCGATCTGGGCTTGGTCTTCTGGAAGGTCATCTTCAAAGATGTCTTCTGTTTTTTCTTTTCCCTATCTCCTGAATTGCGGCTTAATTTTATCACAGTCTTTAATGTTCCAGTGTAATCGCCCGACTTTGCTTTGCCCTTATTCCCCATAAGGCCGCAATAGTTGGGTCCGTATATACGCTCTTTCTCTTTCAACTTCTCTATTTTAGCCTCATTAGCAGCTTTGTGAGTGAGTAAACCAAGAGTTCGGAGGACATTTTCCTTGCGCTGCTGACTTTCAGGAGTTTCATGAAGCATGTTACTGGGACCTGGTTGACTTTCTGTGGAATTACGTGCCGATTTTACTTTAGGACTCTTAGGCTCTGGGACTTCGGTTTCCGTATCTACCGTTTTATTTGGTTCACTTGGCTCTATGATGTCCATGGGCTTAATAATGTCTTCCTTGGCTTTATCAGGTTCTACATTAGCTGTAACAACTTCTTGCTGGACTTTAACAAGGTCTTCCTTGACTGGAATATCAGGAACACACGTTTCGTTTTCAGGAACTGTTGCAGCTTCAGTTTTTTCAGTCTCATTGTGGACATCGGTGTTAGTTTCGTGTTTGTCTAATTCATTATCAGGCTCGGTACTCAAATCAGTCTTTATCGATTCTGAAGCATGTGATATGTTTTCAGGTATTGCTTTTATGTTATCTAAGGGAGGGGCAAGTGCTTCTGTTTCCATTGCTTGTACCGCCTCAGGAGATTTAACAGCGACTGGAGTGGGCGTAATTGATATCACTTGTGACTTGATCTGATGTGGTGGCGATTTAATCTTTTCGATAGTCGCAATTTTTTCGTCACCGTCGACACCAGATTCTGAAGATTTTCTTGAGAGCGAATCTCTAGATTTGCGCTTTGTTATTTGAATATCGCTACTATTAACTTTGGGTTCAACTACCCGAGGAGTAATAGATATCTGACTTGAATCCAAAACTATCCCAACTAGAGCTTGGCTTGGAGGGGTGGGATGTAGTGTTGCAAATTGATGCAAATCTATTTGAGCTGGAGGTGATGCCTTATCTACCGATTTCCTTAATTCAGTTAATGTTACATCTTTGCCCAGGGATTTCTCAAATACACTTATTGCATCAGATTCTTTTGAATGGTTTGAGTTTGTTGATTCTTTACGTGCGCTGAAACTATTCCTTTTAATCAAAGTAACAGAATTAGGCAGGTCCACATCAATTGATTTTCTAACCTGATCTCTTTTAACGATTGAAATTGCTGAATTATTTTCAAAGCAACTTAGAACATTTTCCTTTTCAATATGTTTCTCTGGAGATCTTGCAGGTTGGATGTCTTTAAGAGGTTTGATATCTGCTCCAGATTTTGGTATCAGCACAACATCATTGGTCACCATTACTGTCTTATTATCATTTAACTTTGATTCAGATTCTTGTCTTTGTCTTCGCTTGTCAAATTCTTCAAATTCCTTAAGCCTATCCATAAGTTTATCTATACTAGCAACTGTTGGACAATTGTATGGTATTTCATGCTTCCTACCATCAGATGACTTTTCAACCGAGTCTTCCTCATAACGGAGCCTTATGTTCTCACTGTCATCAATTTTTGAAGGGGTTATTTCATTGGTTAATGCTGATATTGTATCTTTATCTTTAACCGGTGTTTCCGGAGTTACAATGCTGTTATTATCTCCTAGAGGCTTCGACAAACCATAAAACTTGGCAACAGGTTTAGATTGCATTTGGTCAATGGTAAGATTTGTGCCATTTGCCAATGCTTGATCCCGGTCTATGTTTTGATCAAGATCATTTATGAGATCATTAATTTCTTTAGACAGGGTGTCCAAAGTTTCATGTTTGTCTTCAGAGGGGTCATTAGTTATTGTACTGCTTATCCCATTTTTAGCAACTTGAGTACTGCTAGATCTCCCTGCAGCTGCTGCCTTTTTTCCTCTTCTAGCTTTTCTAATATTCTTAGAAACTTCTTTTGAATTAAATGTCTTTGACATACTGGTTAATATACTACTACGTTCCTCAAAAAGCGTATCATTTTCAGTCTTCGGCAACAATTTTTCTTCTACTTCTGATACATTTAAATTCTCTAACTTAAGTCTATTACTATTATTGTTGTCAGAGTCTAATGAAGTAGTTCTTTTTAAGCTCAATTTTTTCTTATCCTTTTCATTTACAATAGAACTAGGCTCTGTATCCATCTTGGTTTCAGACAATTTGGAGTCAACATTAAGAGAAGGCACTTTTCCAACAGTCGAGATCTGTAAATTATTTTCAATATCTACATCTAGGTCAGTCTTAGGTTTATCTAATTTTTTGTTGAGCTCTTTGCTGTCTGTGTCATTAAGAGTTTCACTCAGGCTAATATCTGATTCTGTGATATCTGAGCATTTAGAGATTTCACTGCCATCTCGTGAACAGGACCGTCCTCTTTTCAATTTCTTGCAATCTTCACTAGCTTCTGGGGCTTCTGATGTCTTTGAATCTGAGAGCAGTCTTCGTCTTTTCTTTTGCTCTTTCATTACTACTTCACTCAGGAGTTTACTCTTTGCACTTCTAGGTTTTCCACTTCTCAAGTTCTTGCCTTCAAACATTGATGGACTATTGCTTCTTTCTGAGCGCATTGAGTATGGACTAGTTCTAGGTCCTAGTACCAGTGTATTTGGTGAATCTCCTAAGACAGATTTCATCATGACCATATCAGAGCTAAATCTTTGCCTTCTGCCAGCAGTCTTTGGACTTGAGGACCTAGAGTTTGGTGTAGTATCGTCAATAGGTTCTTTCTTTATTTCAGACGCAGGTATCAATGGGACGGTTTCTTTTTCTTGAGAATTATCAGGTTCACTTTTTACTGCTGGTTTTCTCCCTCTTTTAACATGGTGTTTTACAACATTCCGTAGTTTCTCCTTAGTAGCTATAACTTTTTTACTCCTTAAAGTTTTCCTTATGCCAAGAGGTCGTTTATTAACAACTGCTTTAGGTTTACCCACAGCTTTCTTGGGTTCTTTGGAAGGTTTCTGTTCATCTTGATTAGGTTTACTCTTCTCTTCTTCTGTTGTATCTGAAGCTTTCTTACGGGCACGAGTCTTCGGTTCTATAGTGTCCTCATCTACACTCTTGTCCGAATCCTCTTTCAGTTGTTTAGGTTTCATGTTGGAATGTGTGGTGAGATGTCTCTCCTTTGTCCGACATCAGGCAAAAGCTGATTGTCAGTTTACCTTCTCTAAGACAATCTTAGATCAAACAAATGATATTTGTCAAAATCTTTTGGTATTAAACCTGGAGCCAACAAACCCGAGATGATCCTATTTTGCTTTCAACTACTCTATGCAATAAATTGCTTTTTTTTAATAAAGATATAACTTCTTGCTTAAGTTGAGGATTGCTTTCCTTATTACTCTTTATTTGTTATTATAATCATGACATCAAGCCATACCATGGACCTACAGCATGCCATCTGGCCCTGAAAATTAAAATTTCTTTATTAAATTATTTATTTGTTAAAACTATTTTTAACAAGGGGTATAAAAAAAAACTACGAATAAGTAATTACATAAAAAGTATCCAGTAATACAGTATATTAATCATATTTTTACATAATTGGCAATGTATTTAAGGAATAAGTTTATTTGACCGAATACTTTACAAGAAATCCTTCAGAAATCAGTATAAAAACACAGTGGTAAACATTGTTTTAGCACTATAATCATCAAGTTCGCGCACTAATTTGACACTATTTTATTTTAGTTACATCGTAATTTACTACATAAAAAGTAACATTAAGCTTTAATAATACCGAATATAACTCAAAACTTACTTTTACGTTGCTTGTTACTTAGAAAATCCCGCCGGAAAAGTCATGAAAATCTCATGTTTTGGTGGTTTAACTCACAAGTGACACCTAACGCCACCTACCAGCTGAGTGAGTGCGTGTGCGTCGACCACAGAAAGCACCAAATCATTTCCCTACCCGTGGCGCACCTCAGTAATGTCCTCACAAAATACTCACAATTTATCCAACGAAACAGCCAAAAACCACAATAAACAGTTAATTAGGCACACAATACACCATAATATGCGAAAAAGTTCAATAAAAACAAGCAATAAAACTTAGAAAATGATTTTTGAAAAGCCCAAATGTCTGCAGGCGTCCGCCATAATGTTTCCTTCGAAACGAATAATATAGTTCTTATTGCTCTTGTAGCAAGCAATCGCTCTATTCGCTATTCAAAATGGCGACCGTGTGGCGTTCACAGTGTGCGTTTACACGATTTTTTATTGGAAAAATCGCCCAGATCCCGAACAACTCTTCTGATTTGGGAACAAAACTCTCCCTGGGACCACTATCGGTAATTATTCAATTATTTTCACTCGCGCCGTGTTGTAATGTCGCTTTGACTGCGACATGTGACATTACTATGGGCGTACACCCGTTACCACAGCTTTACTCTCATGATATTAACTCTATTTTTCGGATTAAAGTTATTCTTTTTAATAACCATCTTTATGATTTTGTTTGATTGAATATTTTTAATATTACTTTAATAATTTGTATTAAACAGGTTTATTTATATTTTTTATATTTAATTTGTGTTTCCAAAAAATGAAATAAGAAGAAATGAACTTAATTATGTAACTTTATGAATTGCATGAAACGAGTAACTTTCCTCCTACATTTATATTTCTTATATACTTAAATTATTTATTAAAAGATAACAACAACTATTCAGATTTTTTCATTTATTTATTGCAGTCTCATGTTCCATGGCTAAACATAAGCTTCAGCCATAGATTGCCTCATAGGGAGGGATTGTACTGAGGGAGGATTACACTGACCATAGTAGCCACGTTTGGCAGTCTGGTTATCAGCTGCCTGTCTTTTATTATTTTGAGATGTTAAGAAATAAAAGTTATTTTTTATGTATGTTGCAGGTTCCATGGGTATCCAGAAATTATTCCAATTATGCCCACTCACCATTCGTAAGCAAAGTGAAAGAACAATATGAATTCGATGTTGTGAAAAATCCACCAGAATGGGCATACGTAGAGAGGCTTCTACCTTTTGACACCATTCCAGCTGTGTCACCAAAGGAAAAATATCCTTCAGGCTGGATACCACCACGGGAGGAAGCCAGGAATTTGCCATTCTTTGTATCAAGAACAAAAAACCATGAACTGCCAATTTACTTAAATGTAACTTTTAGAGGCATGCGTAAAATAACCCAAATTCGAAAAATTGATGGCGACATTTGGCTGTTGAACGATGAAATTAAAGCATACTTGAAAGAAGCGGCAAAAAGATACGTAGAAACTAGAGTCCATGAATTAGGAAAATTTATAGAAGTGAAGGGAGATTATGTCAATGTTCTTCGCGATTGGGCATACATAAAAGGATTTTAAATATGTAATATGTTTTGTTGAATAATGAATAATTACTAGAAAAATATCCTGTTTTATTTTTATCTTGAACACAATAAAAGTTTTTAAAATTATCAAATATTTAAATTTATATTTAAGACTTTTTGACAATTTATTATAATTCCATTTTCAATATTTATAAATCACTACAAACATCTTAACTTTTAAAATTATTATTTGTCAGAACTCAACTCAACACAACTCGCCAAAGTTTCATTGTAATCGGATGAATGGCATACAACATATAAGAGACAAAGAAACCCTAACTTTATGTATATATATATATATATATATATATATATATATATATATATATATATATATATATATATATATATATATATTATATAATCATCATCATTACCACCATTATAGTCCTTCACAAGTCCAGTGCTGAACATAGGCTTCCTCAAGGAATGCCATACAGCACGGTCCTCACCCACCTGCATCCATTGACTTTCTGCATGTCCTACTAGGTCGTCGTCTTTCATTTATATATTTGAATATAAATACATATTATTTTGAAAAGTGGCTATGAAATAAGGTTATAATAAAATAATCATGAAAAATAATAAACAAAATTAAAAAATAATCAATGCATCGAAACTTTTGTGGTAAGGTATACGCGGCATGAAGTTGTGTTTCACTCGTCCGCCACGAGCAGCGCTGTCGTCGGCGGAAGGTTTTATCTACGTAGCTATATAACATCCGCCCGGAGTTCTTGGGCCTCTCCACGATATTATTTTCGACTCGTGTCCACTTCTCTTTGTTCAAAACAACTTTTCTATATCTCGGCGCGGTTAATAAACGCTTTGACACGCTTTTCAGAACGAAACGTCGTCAGCGCACGACATTTTAGGTTACTTTATATTCTAATTTGTTTTATTGTTTAGTAGGTTAGTAATTCGCATTAAGTACTGCCATAAACATACATGTTATAAAGTTTGTAAAGTTATATTTTATTTGTTAACATTTAATACACATACGCTCCTTATGTGTAAGCGTTCACGATAATACCTATTACGTAATTGATAAATGGTTGTATGTATGTATATATTCTCAAGGCTAAGTGCTTTCAGTTTGAGTCGACACGTGTAACCATTTGGTATTTTGTAGCTAATATATAAATGCAGAATGATCAATAATTAGATGCGCGCGGGGTTGGTGTACTCATTCTTTTACGAAGTTTATATTATACCTATTCGGGGTTATTTTTATTTCGGTACTTACGTAGATTTACGATAGAGACTATCAATAAAAATGGTATAATAGTAAACTGTGACGTACCTGTAATATATTTTTGGAAAGTTAAGTACCTATTATAGCATGGGATCCTATTTATTGAAGGTTCGTAGATGACAGTGTAGGTACTTAAACACAAATATTTATTAATATGATGAAATGCTAAAAATATTTTTTTTTGAAAATCTACTATAATTATGTACCTACCTACTTATTAGTTTAGCGTTGACATGATATAAAGTTAGTAATTAAATTACCTCATAGAACCATTAGGTACCATACTATTATTTTTTCTGTACCATAATATTTACCAAGGTTAAGTTAGGTACCTATTAACAATAATGCCTTTGGTAAATTTATGTAAAACGTTGCATACCTAGGTAGGTGCAACGTTATTTTATCTTTGATGTTTAAATTTATTTAAATGACGTAGGTACCTAGTTAATATTAGTTCCTAGTATAAGTTTATTAATTCCAATGAATCAGTTCAGTGCGATAATTACCCAATATAATAACTTTACAGTAACTTATTTGATAATTTTGTAATACATAATGCGAATATTAGGTATAATTTATTTCGGTGTTTACTATTTGTGTCAAGCACAGAATAGATAATAGCTTTACGTCTTTACTTAAGAAATTGCCATTTAAAAAAAAACCAAAACATTTTTTTAAATTATCTAGCTATTACTTAAAAAAGTAGCTTCTATGTAATAATTTCCATTTAAATGGATAATCATTATTGCGTCTACTATAGAATTCCCGGTTACGGGTAACGATGACTTAAAGACGTTTTTCATTGGAGACAAAAATTCTTTTAAATAAAGTTATCCTAAACTTAGAAAAAAATCAGCAGGAGCAAGATCTGTTCAGTACAGTGGAGATTGAGAGCTTCCAGTTGAAATCATGTTATTTTATAGTACCGTGTATGACGAGCGTTATTGTAGATTAGAGCTATTGTCAAGTTTTGGTGCTTAACAGCGATTTTGTCCCCTTCGCAATTTTGGATATTATGCCTCTACGGTAATTTTCGGGTCATATTTCCTAAAGCTAACACAAATAGATATCCACCATATAACCACAAGGAGCTTTCTAATAATTTCATATTATATTTGGCAGCCTTTTTTTGGGTCCAGTCAAAGGCAACGAACTTTTCCGAAATATGGAAGTCTCTTTTTCAGTACAAGCGACAATCCAAATTTAGAATCCCTGGATTTGTATATCGATTCAACAAATTAAGGCAAGCTTCGATTCGATTTCGACTCGACTCGAAAATTTTCTGTTTTCCATCAGTGTGGTACCTATCCATTGTCAGAGTTTTTTTTATTAATTTATTAATAAAATAAATAATTTCATCCTGACCTAATTTCGCTTACGGTCAGTCTCAACGGAGACTGCCACCTGCTCAGGAAAAGATTATAGCACATGAATGTGTGCGCAATCACAAATGCCCTGTTTTTTCCCTCGTTCGTCCGTTTTTGTCTTTTTTTAA